CACCTTGAGCTGTCAATTCTGTCTTCAGGAGCTTCTCCTGCCTCCACCACCGACTCTATCACCTTCTCCCATGCCTTCAACTCCTCTCCCGCCGCCTCTCACCATCCTCCATTGCCTCTCCTAAGCTCCTCTCACCATCTCCAGCAAGCTCTTCGTAGAAGCTTCGGTCCACTGCTCCCTCTCCTTCGCCACCTCGACAAAGCACTAGGACTTCATAAATATTGTGTGATTGTTACACATCTTTACATGCTTAGGATCTCTATAAATCATCAAATATGTTTTATAGAATTTTTATATTTGTCTTGAAAATTTCTTATTTTTTGAATACTAATCCAAATTTAAATTGGACCACTTCTTTACGTAGCACTTTTTTCTGCTTTGATTTGCTTAAGCCCTAAAAAAGCCAAAATGGTATGTTGCTGTTTTGCTCCGTTGTCAGCTTTCCACAACCTTGGCAAGTTCCACTACATAAAACTTATGAAAGCTTTAATTTCATCTCAAAACAAAGCTATCCATTTTACAAATCCCTCCAAACTTTCATGTATATTTCTTGAGCGGATTTTCAATTTGTTGTTGAGATCATTTATTGAGGATCAAATTGCCAAGTACTATCTCTACTTGGTGTTTATTGAGCTTGTGAGAGCCTCAATTGTAATTTGGGAGTATCTTGTACAACTGACATTGAGCTGAATTGAGTTCTCAAATTGTATTTGTACAAGAACGAAGACTTCTTAGTGCTGTGTTCTTCTCCTTGGACTAAGGAGAGGTGTTGTCTTATTTGCTTGAGGGTGTCAAGTGCAATAGAGGGTTAAGTCCAGCTTTTGGTTCTAAAGTTCGCACTTATATTTCAAACTCGGTGTGAGCTTGTGTGATGGTGGATTCTGAAATCCTAATGGAGGCGCTAGGTTGTGGATGTACCTAGTTGAAGGGTGAACCATTAGAAAAAAATGTTGTGCAATCTGTGGTTGTCTGCTGCTTATATTTTCTATTTATCCACATTCTGGACGTTCCACTGCTATCTTCCATCAGAACTTCTACAAAGCCAAAATCTACAACATCTATCCTACTTACATTCTAGTTCACCTCCTATGATACTATCATCACCTCTACATATAAATTCCAATTATCGAGCAAGAAGTTGTGCTTAACCAAAAGAAATTTTCAATAACGCTATTCACCGTGCCTCCACGGTTCTAACAGGAGCTTCTCTAAGTAGTTTGTTGTAAGAAAACTCTATATATGCTCATGTCTATGAAAAACAGTATATGAAACAAATCATATCATCTACCCTTCTGAAAAGGGTTCATTTGCCTCCCGAACAAGAAAGAATTAGTTCCTTGGAAAGTTCACATCACAATCTCATTTTCCAAGTATCAGGAGTTTCTGGTGCAGCGAAAGAACACCAGAACTTTTCAAACAATAACCAAAGTGAAATTTAATGACTTAGAAGTAAAACAAATACCACCAATCTCTTCATACTCATCACTACTCTCCTACCAATCTCTTGCTTAACCTCATCCGCTTATGAATGTTCATTTGTGACGCTTCTGCAAGGAGACTAGATCCTAAGCTCGAATAAAAATCATCCTACAACACCCCATAAGGATTATTTGATTCATCAGCAAACAGTATCATGGCAAATTGCGCCTTGCAAACTTTAACTCCATCTTCAGGTGCAAAATCAGCTATTCTACATGTGGATTTCAATCACAGGCTACAACATTATCTTCACACTCCAGCTATTAATGTTTGCATACTAGCAATCAAATTCCTGGTGTCTGATCAAGCACACTATACCATCAAGCAAAGTGGGTTTCACGTCTAATTTTCTTCAAATGACTACGAATTTTCTTTCCCCAGATGCAACAATTGGATGATGGGAGCATTACATTAAGAAACTAGCAAAAACCCTACTTTCCCCACTTTAATCGCAATATAAGAAATGTTTTTAAGCAAATAAAAGGAAAAACCAGAAGAAAAATACTGAAGCAGATATCAAAGAATTTAATCACTAATAACAATTAAACGGAACGGAAAATTTTACCTCAACAATATTCCCAACAAGGTAAGGCAGCTGCTTGTTAAGCTTAATCTTCTCCTGATTCTCCTTAATCTTCTCCTTAAACGATTCCAGTTCAAGGTTGTTCCTTTGCAGTTCATCCTACAAAATCCAACGCTCTAAAATATTAACAAAAACGATCGGATCTAACAAAAAACCTAGAGTTCGTTTCTTCAAGAGATCGATTAGGGTTAGGGTTTTTCTCGTCACCTTCAGGATCCGGAGCTCGTTGTCGAGGAGACGAGACGCTCGAGCGATATCGTCCGTGGTCATGTTGGCGAGCTGGTCGTCTTCGAAGTTGCTGTCGTCCATCGGAACCGCTGAAGATGCCATTGCTGATGGTCGAAGGACAAAACGATGGTAAGTTTACCGTGTATAAGCCATTTTATGGGCTTGGGCTTGACGAAAAGAGAGGAGACGACCCGAATCCGATCCTAATTGGGAAATGGGGCTTTATGAAGTATAAACGGGTACGGGTCAAGATTCTGAGCCAATCAGTAGACTGGATGGTGTTACTTGACAACGGATCAGTGAGGGATTAAGTAGAGCTAATCTCTCTTTAGCTTTGTCAAACACAAAAATATTTACAGATGTTGTAAATTGAGTTCACCTCTTCTGAATCGGTAAGCACAAAAAAGAGAATAAGGGTTTACAAATCCCTCTATAGGAGTTAAATTGAGTTAATCTCTCAATACAAGGGGTTTACAAATCCTACCAATTTAGATAGACTAAAAGAGGACCTTTCTGTTTATAAAGAAAGTGATCATAAGCTATTTTATTTCCAAACGCATAAAATGATCACGAGGTTTAAGTAAACCAACCTAACAAGTTAATAAATTTAATCTTTCAGATTATTAAAGGGTCTAATTATTATCCTTAATCTCTATATTTAAAACTTTGTCAAATAGGACAGAAGAGGTCAGTATGAAAAATCTCCGCCTAGTTATTCTTGTTTAACTCTCTTTTTCCGCACTGGTAAGCTCGTTTTTAATAGTAATGATCTCAATAGAATAATCACTTGTTATGTTCTTAAATCATGAAATCCTCTGTAAGAAATAAAAAATTAATATAGGATATGTTTAATTTCAGTCAAATTTATCGAGCAACAATAAAAATAGAAAAGAGAGAAAATAATTCATACAATATGTACTCCATTCAATTTGTTAGATGGCTTAAGAATTACATATGTGGCATGCATTTTCATTAATGGAAAAGTATTGATAGATTTATCAAATAAGTTCATTCCCTCCATCACCCAAGTGCATAGTGAAATGCTGATGAGATGGAGATATTTTATAAAAATATACCTTTTATTATAATCAATTAAATGAGTCTACGGATCTATTTGGCAAATTGAATAAACCCATCTTATTGGAGACAAAATGGATTCGTGTGCTTATAGCCTTTTGGTTGGCATATAAAAAGATAAAGTAAATTAGGTTTCTAAAGGCTCATTTTTGCTCAATAACTAGATTAGAAACAAATCAAGTCTCCCATGATCTAAAAGAAAACCATGTTAGAATGACTCGAGAATAGTGTCTAATATAAATGGTAGCCAAATTTATTTTTAAATTAGAACTGGTTCAATGGAGTCTAGTTTAGCATAATTCTAGTCAAATGGCGCAGGTTCACAACTGATCTAGATTTTTTTAAAATTTATCAAACTCACCCTAGCGCTTTGTTTTCTTTTTTTCCTTTTTTGAAGTGAAAATAGGGCAAGATGCCCTATTTCAAAAGATGTATATTATATAAACCATGTATATACAAAAAAATACCTAAAGCAATATTAAGAGCAATAGAAAGGGAGGAGGGAGAGGACCATAGCCGTTACCTTATCCATCATTCGAAAACTCAAAATCTAAACTAAAGGTATAGTATCAAGACCTATCGACAACATCAAGCAGCTAATAAACCATCAGCAAAAACCACAAAAACTCTTACAAAGAAACAAATAAACTAAGTATCTGTAGAAAAATCAAAACAGCTTGAGAACCGAGAGCGATCAACTAGTATCCTCGCTATTACTCAAAAGTTCGTCAATCTTCTTATCTTGAATGATAGATTTCAATTTGGTCGCTTTCTTATGCCGAGAGTTACCTGTCCAAAACAACAGAAAAATAGGATACATTAGACACCACTCTATAAGGATCTCTAATTTCGCCATTAAAAACTATATTATTTCTTTCTCTCCATAAGCACCAGCACAATGTAGGCAATAAGATTGACCAGAGCAAACGACGGTTCTTATCATTGATAAACTGCACCTTAGACTTCATCATATGAAATAGATCATGTTGAAAAGAATTAGTTCTTGACGAAGGAAGAAAGATTTGCTATATATCACGAGCATACTGACACTTGATGAAGAGATGATTTACTGATCCCTCAATTTCGTGAATGGGGTGAGAACGGAATGGTCGTTCCCATTTCTTATTCATGGATACCAAGCATAATGTATTTTTGGACGCTAGAATGACTATTCTCATTTCTACTTTATTTTCACTTTTTATGAGAATAATAATTCCCAGTGAATTGGTAGGGAATGAACATCTTCACTTAAGTATGAACGCAAAAAGTTAATTTAAATACCAAACATGTCATGATTGCTTAATAATTTTTTTGACGCAAAAAATGCTTAATAATTATCCATACTAAAAATTACAAAAAAAAATTCATTTGCACTTCATTCTCTACTCATACTCAAATATTAGAACAGAAGTGAGCATTTTATTCTCACATTCATTCTGTTCTATTCATTACTTCATTCCATTCTCGCGCGATCCAATTTTCGTATACTAAACGAGACGTAAGGAGGTTTTCCTGTATTGTTAATGGAGGAAACATTTCATTAAAGAGATATTCTTCGCCTCCTGACTTTAGCGTGTGGAAATTTGACACGAGCCTTTGAAAAAAGATTGAGAAGAAGTCCCAGAAGATGTCTGTTCGCGGGAAAAATCGTTGCTTTCTTCATTAATGATTCCATTGTACACTCTTGTAATAGTCTATCGATTACAAAGATCCGGTCTTTTATAGATCCGGTTACAACGAAAATCAAATTGAAAAGAAATGAAAATTACAACTTTGTTTCCTTGTTTGTCGAACGAATCGCGAGCTCCTGTTTTGCGGTCGCTCGCTTTGTGGGTTCTTTGCCTGCGCCGGGGTTGTTTGCCGTGGACCACCGCGCGATCTAGATCCGGTCGGATCTACGCAGTACAACGGGTATTATTTCACCAAGGAAATAATAGCCGGGGAGGATTGTTTCACCAAGGAAACAATCGTCCAAACCTCGGGATCTAAGACCAAGCTTAGATCCGGAGTGTAGCAACGTAGATCTGAGATCCGGTCCTCTCGAACTCCTGCCTTATTTGGCGTTGATGATCGTCGAGCACCAGATCTGGATGTGCAAGTCCTCAGGTTTGACCAAGTGGGTGTTTTGAGACAATCCTAACTGTAGGAAGGTTTGATCGCTCAATTTGTGGACCTCTCGTTCATTGGGGGAATCGAGAGGGGATTTTGACTGTGGTCCTAACTGTAAGAAGGTTTGACCAAGTGGGTGTTTTGAGACAATCCTAACTGTAGGAAGGTTTGATCGCTCAATTTGTGGACCTCTCGTTCATTGGGGGAATCGAGAGGGGATTTTGACTGTGGTCCTAACTGTAAGAAGGTTTGACCAAGTGGGTGTTTTGAGACAATCCTAACTGTAGGAAGGTTTGATCGCTCAATTTGTGGACCTCTCGTTCATTGGGGGAATCGAGAGGGGATTTTGACTGTGGTCCTAACTGTAAGAAGGTTTGACCAAGTGGGTGTTTTGAGACAATCCTAACTGTAGGAAGGTTTGATCGCTCAATTTGTGGACCTCTCGTTCATTGGGGGAATCGAGAGGGGATTTTGACTGTGGTCCTAACTGTAAGAAGGTTTGACCAAGTGGGTGTTTTGAGACAATCCTAACTGTAGGAAGGTTTGATCGCTCAATTTGTGGACCTCTCGTTCATTGGGGGAATCGAGAGGGGATTTTGACTGTGGTCCTAACTGTAAGAAGGTTTGACCAAGTGGGTGTTTTGAGACAATCCTAACTGTAGGAAGGTTTGATCGCTCAATTTGTGGACCTCTCGTTCATTGGGGGAATCGAGAGGGGATTTTGACTGTGGTCCTAACTGTAAGAAGGTTTGACCAAGTGGGTGTTTTGAGACAATCCTAACTGTAGGAAGGTTTGATCGCTCAATTTGTGGACCTCTCGTTCATTGGGGGAATCGAGAGGGGATTTTGACTGTGGTCCTAACTGTAAGAAGGTTTGACCAAGTGGGTGTTTTGAGACAATCCTAACTGTAGGAAGGTTTGATCGCTCAATTTGTGGACCTCTCGTTCATTGGGGGAATCGAGAGGGGATTTTGACTGTGGTCCTAACTGTAAGAAGGTTTGACCAAGTGGGTGTTTTGAGACAATCCTAACTGTAGGAAGGTTTGATCGCTCAATTTGTGGACCTCTCGTTCATTGGGGGAATCGAGAGGGGATTTTGACTGTGGTCCTAACTGTAAGAAGGTTTGACCAAGTGGGTGTTTTGAGACAATCCTAACTGTAGGAAGGTTTGATCGCTCAATTTGTGGACCTCTCGTTCATTGGGGGAATCGAGAGGGGATTTTGACTGTGGTCCTAACTGTAAGAAGGTTTGACCAAGTGGGTGTTTTGAGACAATCCTAACTGTAGGAAGGTTTGATCGCTCAATTTGTGGACCTCTCGTTCATTGGGGGAATCGAGAGGGGATTTTGACTGTGGTCCTAACTGTAAGAAGGTTTGACCAAGTGGGTGTTTTGAGACAATCCTAACTGTAGGAAGGTTTGATCGCTCAATTTGTGGACCTCTCGTTCATTGGGGGAATCGAGAGGGGATTTTGACTGTGGTCCTAACTGTAAGAAGGTTTGACCAAGTGGGTGTTTTGAGACAATCCTAACTGTAGGAAGGTTTGATCGCTCAATTTGTGGACCTCTCGTTCATTGGGGGAATCGAGAGGGGATTTTGACTGTGGTCCTAACTGTAAGAAGGTTTGACCAAGTGGGTGTTTTGAGACAATCCTAACTGTAGGAAGGTTTGATCGCTCAATTTGTGGACCTCTCGTTCATTGGGGGAATCGAGAGGGGATTTTGACTGTGGTCCTAACTGTAAGAAGGTTTGACCAAGTGGGTGTTTTGAGACAATCCTAACTGTAGGAAGGTTTGATCGCTCAATTTGTGGACCTCTCGTTCATTGGGGGAATCGAGAGGGGATTTTGACTGTGGTCCTAACTGTAAGAAGGTTTGACCAAGTGGGTGTTTTGAGACAATCCTAACTGTAGGAAGGTTTGATCGCTCAATTTGTGGACCTCTCGTTCATTGGGGGAATCGAGAGGGGATTTTG